AAGTACATATCTGTTTCTGATCAAAACACAGTTTTTATTAAGTTGTGTGAATGTTGGTTGACATTGTGGGGAGAAAATGCTGGTGCAACCTTTAGTGAGGAAGTCACAGTGTGAAGTCAAGTCAAGTAGAAAGAAAAGGACTACTCAGAAAATGTGTGACAGGAACGTGAGTCTCCTCTGAAACTCTAAGAGCAGAAAGGATATCCATCTGCAGGGAGAGAACACTTTTGGGGTCCCGTTGTTTGAAGAGGGACAGCAGAGGTCTAGTTGATTAGTCCAAACAGGAGTGCGCATGAGTGGTGTGAAATTGCAGAACTCTCTCTCAGAAGAATAAGAGTGTCCTTCGTCTTTGACAGATTGGTTTATAGTTAATTCCATCTTTGAAAGAATTGTTCGTCCTCTTTTCTAGCATAGACAGTTTCCAGTTCTATAAATTTTCCATATTTGTCTTTTTTATCATTATGGCCAACTATAATCATTCTAATTAAATATGCCTACAAATATGTGTGTGTGTGTATATATTGTTTTAAGCAAATTTTAGTAACAACTTTTATACCAAGTCAGTATAAAATCTAATTGTACACTCTGAAGGCTGTTTAACTATGTACCTCTAACTAAAAAATGCCTAGTATATTGTCTCTCCCAGTGCCAATAACGTAAAAGTGAGCACAAAACTAGAGACACATCTGAAGTCCAACTGAACATACCTCAAAACTCAAAGCAGTAAGAAAAATAATGGGCAAAGTCACACTTGGATAAAATATGAAGGAAGATCCTTCATGTCCCTTACAAAAGGCAATGATGAAAAGGAAAAAGTCATTAGTGACAGCAAACACCTGTCACAAGGCTTAAGGTTTCACAAACCAGGACTCAAGATTAATGTTCTTTTTTTTTACTCACATGGAGAACCTTGGGCATGATTAAAGATCTGTTTTTCTGTCATACTTTCATGCTCTGCCCATAAACAAAGATATTTCCTTTTCATCACCATTAGAAAAGGCTATTCCATATTCCTGTCTTCACATTCAAAAAAAAAAAATGTTGCTGTAAGGGAAACTGATCTTAAATATATCACTACAAACACACACACACAAGTACACACTCAAAGAGAGATTGCATGCACAGTATGTTTACATTCTTAATTACTTCACTTGTAAATGCCTTTTTTTCTATTACCAGAGATGTAATAGGAAAATAAATATGCTTTTATTCATATTCCAGAGAAAATACTTAGAAAGCAGTGTTTCAGAGTAAATGGCACTTTGAGAAGTGTCTATGTTAAAGTACTTTGTTTTTTTTTCTACTCAGATTTCCAGCCACTTTGGAGGACACTGTGCTGAGTAAACGAAGACATGCATAGATAAACACTTCATAATCTCATTTGTATGTGGAATCTCAGAAACCTGAGCTTGTCAATGCCAAGAGTGTATTTTACGTTTTGATAGGACATTGTAATTAACTCACTTTCAAACAAATATGAACACAATAGATAGTTGTCTTTCTGCTATAACAAGAAGGGAGTGTAAATTCTTCAGACTCTTTACTTTCCAGTAATAATTTCAGAGGACCCTGTTGTCTCACTTTGCATGCCCAGTATGCAAAGTTCCATAACTACTTACTGACTATATGGACAGAAGCAATGTATTTGTCTATCACGTTACTGCAATGCAAACTTCATTTGTTATGAAAGCTGACACTAGTTTTACAAATACAGTCTCAAGCACAGCATGCTCCTAAGATAACTCCATTTGTCCAATCTTACTCGTCTCAGCACACAGAGCATCAACCACTGTACTTCGAAGGCAAAACCTCGGTGTTACCAATAGCAACTTGCATTTATAAAGTTCAAAACAACTAATGGCAACTCCTTGCCTAAATCCCTGCATCTGTTTGTCAGTGAACTGAGATAAAATTCCAAATTTCTTACTGTTCTCCTACTCTAACTATGAAACACTCTTGTTGCTGCAGACTTAATCCTCACAGCCCAACTTTCCTGGCTGCCTTTCAGCTCATAGACACCAAACTCCTTCTTCCCACCCCAAACTCTGAATTCCCATTTTTTGATTTGGTTAATTCAGGACTCAATTCAAATACTTGTTTAGTGTGGTATTTACAACCTCACTGTATGACCCCTATTTCTCTCTCATTATTTTTCCTCTAAAATAGCTTTTATTTAATTTTGCCAGTTTTCACATGCATACAATGAATGTAATCACACTTATATTTTATGACTCTGTCTTGCCCTCTTCTACTTTGTTTTGTTTTTGTTGTTGTTGTTGTTTTTTGGTTTTTGGTTTTTTTTTTTTTTTTTTACTTATCTGTAGTGGTGAGGATTGAACCCAGGGTCTTGTGTATTTATGGGCAAACACTCAGTCGCTGAGCTGTATCATAGTCCTATAGTACTTACTATATTTAGAAATACTTTTGTATTTCCTTCTCTAACTCAATGCCTAAGCATCTGCTAATCAGCTTTCCATACAAGTAGCAGGAGACAAAGGTAGTACACATACAGCAAGATTCATTACTAACACATTGTGGTGTATTTCTTTTATTTTATCCTGTTTCTATTTATCCTTACATTGGTTTTTAATATACTTCATGTAATATTAGAATACTATATGCATGTGATTTATAAATCAACGCATATATGTCAGCTGGACATGCTAGCATATACCTGTGATTCTAGCACTAGAAGGTAGAAGCAAAGGGATTAGAAATTCAAGGTCAGCCCCAGCTACATAACAAATTTGAAGTCAGCCTTGGCTACGTGAAACCCAGTCTTGAAAAGTCTACAAAGTATACAGACAAATATGGTAAATTTTCAAACATATTTAATAATGGTATTAAGCAAATAAAGATTTAAAATACTATAATAAATTGATAAAAACCCTGCACAGTAAAAAGGATGATGTCTGGCTCTAATCCGTGTATGGGTCTTTTTACATTCCTCAACAAATACTTATTTAGCAGTTGAATGACTAATAAGCATAGGCAATTCACTGTCCTTAATTAGTTGAAATTATTTTATGTATGCAAGAGTAACTAAAACTATATTTATAAAAACAAATTAGTCTAGGCTTGCATTACTAGACAAAAATCAATTCATACATAATAGCGTCTATTTGCATATAAACAATGTTATAAAGAGTTCTAAAATTATGTTGTCTCTTTTATAAAGGTTAAATGGCCTCCTCCATCTTCTTTAAGCTATTCATCAATTCAGTGAAAACTTTCCAGATAATGCAAAAAGAAATGTCAGCCAGCAAACAATCACAAATTCCAAATTAAGTAGAATCTGAATTAATAAGGGCTTCATCTTATCTGCAAACCAACAAAAATCACTTACAACATTTAAGGTCACTAATTTCATTTTTAATGATAAATTTGACTTTTAAGCAAATTTATTTTCATCAGTGATTCTCAAAGCTTGATGGTACATCATAGCTTGGAAGTTATTAAAATAATAATTGTTATTAAAAGTAATAGTTTTACTATAGTAGACACATTTTTGATAATCTTCAGATTATAGTTGCTTTCTTGTTACCATTATTCAATCCTTCCTAGACAGATTAAAAATAGAAATCCATTTTCCTACTTTGAATGAAATATTTCATATATAATAAATAAGATACAATATTTTATTTAAACAAATTCTAATTTTCTATCCTACTGCCATTTTTTTTTCATTTCCTCACTTCTTTGTAAACAGTAAAAATTGTCACATCCTTCAGTAAGAAGCTATTAGAAGAAACTGAGAGAAGCTTAGAGGCCACCAATCTCTGCTATCTCACGTTCATTTCTTAGCAAACAGAGCAGGTAGGACAAGATGAGGAATAAAATTCAGTAGCTGAAAGCAGTTACTAGTAAGAGCCAGTCAAAAGTCAGTGTTTGATCACACATTTATACAAAATGTTATAAATTTAGGAGGAAACAGGCTTCACACCCATCTCCATGTAGTTCAAGGATGAATATGGAAAAGAGGTTTTACACCTGTGAACATGTGAATTTACCCTTGAAAATATATTAAATGATAAAATTTCAAAGCATAGGTATTTTAGTCATACTTTAGCCACAAATTAATATCTTAATAAGCAACAGATAAAAATACATTAACTTTAACAATACCAATTCAGTTCTGTATTTCCAAACTGGATAAGGGTGAGCAAAAGCCTCACACTTCACTAACTAGAACACATGAGGCCTGTATGACTCCTGCCGCCTTGAGCTCTGCACTCTTGAATCTTTTGTGGCTATTCTACATTTAAAACAAAACAAAGCAAAGCAAAAAAACACACACACACAAACAGTTATGCAGGACAAGATAGAGAATGACCATTAAAGGAAGTTAAAATTTAAGATTTTATTGCATGTGTAAATACCGAGATCCTTATTGTTGTGAAAATTTAAGTTTTCATTACATGTGTAAATACTGAGATCCTTATTGTAGTGCACACTTAGAACATTAAGACGATATATGTTAACATTATAGGAAGAACAAAAAAATGTAGACGGTGCAATCAAAGTTTACACAGAATATGCATATATATGTATTAGTTTACACACACATAACATAGTCAACTTCAGTCAGGACAGTTCAAACTAAAATGATTTCTTAATACCACAGAGTTAAAATATCTGAAAAATCCAACATATTCTTAATATGCACATATTCCAAGACAAAATAGCATTTTTAGTTGTGTGTGTACCAATTTATTTAACATAATATAAAGAACAGTATCTGTTCAGTTTCTCTTGTTAAATATACTAATTATCTTTTATTCCGGCTTCCAGAACAATTATCAGTTCACATCTAGAGGACAAATGAGAGCACAGTTTAATAATTACCGTCAGCCTAGAAACTGTCACATAGTAATTCACCCAGGAGATGCTCAGAAGGAAGGCATGCTTCTGTTTTTCTTTCCACTTTCATTTTAGTGAATATTATTATTATTATTATTATTATTATTATTATTATTATAGAAAGCAGAGTATATACTTACACAAAAATGCAGAGAAACTGGTACTGGTGGTACAGGCTTGAATTTCAACCTCTGAGGCTTAAGTAGAAAGATCCCAAGTTCAAGACCAGCATAGAAAGTCTTTAAGGGTCCTGTCTCAGAAAGTATAAAAGAGGGCTAGGGTCATATTTAGTAGTAGACAACTTACCTTACATGCAAGAGGATTTGTTAATCAGCACCACATACACAGACAAATAACAGACATACTGACAAATTATTTCTAAATACTAGAAATTAGCCTTCTGAGGGAGAGGCTGGCAGGTCATATTTAGGTGCACTTTTATTGTAGTGATTATTTACTTGCCTAATAAGCATTATAGGATTATTTTGGTTCTTCAGCTTTTTCTAGAGATTTTATTCCCCTTTAATTCAGTTTTCTCATGGTTTACACATTGTTACATGCTTGAAACTTTCATTCCAGACCACAGGAATATAGCCAAGTATTGTGCCAAAATAGATCATGTGCTTGTTTTTGACTAGAGCATATAAATTTCATATTTCTAGCATATTACAATCTAATAGGTGTGCTATTTACAGTCCCTGTTGTGGTTTCAATATGTATTGTGGCCTACAAGGCCATGTATCAAATGCCTATTCCCAGAAGGTGGTCCTTTTTTTCATGGGCTTAGGAAGCAGAAGCTGTTTTGGCAGAGAGAAATCACTCAGATGAGCCTCTGCTTCTCTGCTTCCAAGTACCAGACCAAGTGTTTTAACAAATATCTCCATCACAGGTTTCTGCTACCATGAGTTCTGTGCTGTCCTTAGCACAATAATTGAACCAGAAACTCTAAACCCAAGTAAGCCTTTTCCTCTTAAATTGTTCCTGTGAGGTATCTTTTGCCATAGAAAGAAACTTTATACCCTTACACAACACAACACACACACACACACACACACACACACACACACACACACACACAAAGTCCCTAAACGTGCTAGGGAGCATCTGAGCTCAGTCACCCACAGAAATGTTCCTTTCTTGGTATAATTAATAAAGAAAGTGATTGCTGAAAGCTAAAAGTCAGTAGTTTTGTAAAAACAAAAATGGAAGATGTCATGCCAATGGAACTTTCTGGGATGAACACTTTCTTCCTTTTATGCACACTATCACTTCTTTGAGAAGCAGAGTCAATCCTCCCCAACCTTGACACTGCTTTGCCAATGAAGTTTATGTGAAATTCTAACCCCCCTGTAACCCGCTTCAGCAATGTTCATGGCATCTTTACTAAGAGATAGCTGTACTTCACTTATCTATTAGAACTCTTCATTTGTTATAATTTTACCATAGGATTATAGCAATCCCAATACAACTTTGGGTTCCATTTCTACATTGGAACTCTATATAGGTAGCCCCCATCACCAACTGTCTTATCAAGAATGCCTGCATGCCTTGCTATAGGCTTTACCTCAGAACACGTATTTCACCTTGGATTTGAGGAGATGACTTGTCATTTAACCTCGTAAATTAACCTCAATCAGCTTCAAGCATTTTAGCTTCACTGTTTTCATCTCCCTTACATTTTGTAAGGGTCAAGGCTTTGTTTTAAAGTCGACTTTGGTTTAAGGGGTGGTAGCAGTTTTGCTCTTCTGTCCAGACTGTGAAAACGCTTTCCACATCAGCAACAGGGTACCTCACTTATTCGTCTATGGGTTCATTGTAGTAGCCCTTTTAATTTCTTTTTAAACATGACTTTTTAACTTACAAATATGTAACTGTTTATCACAAGGGGACTGCCTATCTCAGCTCTCAACATCCCTTCCTCACTATGCTTAATTATTTAGTTTTTATTTAAGGTGAAGGGCATGGGACTCTTTTACTTGAACAATTCAGGGCCACTGCAGGGTTACTATTTAACATACTTTCAAAAGTGTTGTTTCTGAGGCAATAGGGAGGCTGACCAGGTAACTGGTCAGTGAAGTATCTAAAACACACACAACATTTATCAATTAAATTCACTATCTTATACTGGCACCATTAAATGGCACCTTACAATGATTACAATAGTAACATGAGAGATTATATGTCACAGATCATCATGCAAAATAATGAAGTTTGAAATATTGAGAGAAATTCGAAACAGTGACATGAACACAAAAAAGTGAGATCATGTTATTAAACAAATGATACTAGTAGTTTTGCTTGAATCAAAACTACCATTTACCTTCAACTCTTAAAAAAAAATTTCTACATGAAGTGGTGTGGGAGTTCCTTCTGTCTATGTGCAGCTTTCATTGGTTAATGAATAAAGAAACTGCCCTGGCCTATGGATAGGGCAGATCTTAGGTAGGCAGGAAGGACAGAACTGAATGCTGGGAGGAAGAAGGGCAGAGTCAGGAGGAATGCCATGGAGCCACCAGAGACAGACAGTGGGAATTTTATCCTGTAAGCCACTGCCGTGTGGCAATGTACAGATTAATAGAAATGAGTTAAATTAATATCAGAGTTAGCCAATCAGAAGCTAGAGCTAATGGGCCAAGCAGTGATTTAATTAATACAGTTTCTGTGTGATTATTTGGGGTATAAGATTAGCCGGGCAGCCAGGATGNTTATTATTATTATTATTATAGAAAGCAGAGTATATACTTACACAAAAATGCAGAGAAACTGGTACTGGTGGTACAGGCTTGAATTTCAACCTCTGAGGCTTAAGTAGAAAGATCCCAAGTTCAAGACCAGCATAGAAAGTCTTTAAGGGTCCTGTCTCAGAAAGTATAAAAGAGGGCTAGGGTCATATTTAGTAGTAGACAACTTACCTTACATGCAAGAGGATTTGTTAATCAGCACCACATACACAGACAAATAACAGACATACTGACAAATTATTTCTAAATACTAGAAATTAGCCTTCTGAGGGAGAGGCTGGCAGGTCATATTTAGGTGCACTTTTATTGTAGTGATTATTTACTTGCCTAATAAGCATTATAGGATTATTTTGGTTCTTCAGCTTTTTCTAGAGATTTTATTCCCCTTTAATTCAGTTTTCTCATGGTTTACACATTGTTACATGCTTGAAACTTTCATTCCAGACCACAGGAATATAGCCAAGTATTGTGCCAAAATAGATCATGTGCTTGTTTTTGACTAGAGCATATAAATTTCATATTTCTAGCATATTACAATCTAATAGGTGTGCTATTTACAGTCCCTGTTGTGGTTTCAATATGTATTGTGGCCTACAAGGCCATGTATCAAATGCCTATTCCCAGAAGGTGGTCCTTTTTTTCATGGGCTTAGGAAGCAGAAGCTGTTTTGGCAGAGAGAAATCACTCAGATGAGCCTCTGCTTCTCTGCTTCCAAGTACCAGACCAAGTGTTTTAACAAATATCTCCATCACAGGTTTCTGCTACCATGAGTTCTGTGCTGTCCTTAGCACAATAATTGAACCAGAAACTCTAAACCCAAGTAAGCCTTTTCCTCTTAAATTGTTCCTGTGAGGTATCTTTTGCCATAGAAAGAAACTTTATACCCTTACACAACACAACACACACACACACACACACACACACACAAAGTCCCTAAACGTGCTAGGGAGCATCTGAGCTCAGTCACCCACAGAAATGTTCCTTTCTTGGTATAATTAATAAAGAAAGTGATTGCTGAAAGCTAAAAGTCAGTAGTTTTGTAAAAACAAAAATGGAAGATGTCATGCCAATGGAACTTTCTGGGATGAACACTTTCTTCCTTTTATGCACACTATCACTTCTTTGAGAAGCAGAGTCAATCCTCCCCAACCTTGACACTGCTTTGCCAATGAAGTTTATGTGAAATTCTAACCCCCCTGTAACCCGCTTCAGCAATGTTCATGGCATCTTTACTAAGAGATAGCTGTACTTCACTTATCTATTAGAACTCTTCATTTGTTATAATTTTACCATAGGATTATAGCAATCCCAATACAACTTTGGGTTCCATTTCTACATTGGAACTCTATATAGGTAGCCCCCATCACCAACTGTCTTATCAAGAATGCCTGCATGCCTTGCTATAGGCTTTACCTCAGAACACGTATTTCACCTTGGATTTGAGGAGATGACTTGTCATTTAACCTCGTAAATTAACCTCAATCAGCTTCAAGCATTTTAGCTTCACTGTTTTCATCTCCCTTACATTTTGTAAGGGTCAAGGCTTTGTTTTAAAGTCGACTTTGGTTTAAGGGGTGGTAGCAGTTTTGCTCTTCTGTCCAGACTGTGAAAACGCTTTCCACATCAGCAACAGGGTACCTCACTTATTCGTCTATGGGTTCATTGTAGTAGCCCTTTTAATTTCTTTTTAAACATGACTTTTTAACTTACAAATATGTAACTGTTTATCACAAGGGGACTGCCTATCTCAGCTCTCAACATCCCTTCCTCACTATGCTTAATTATTTAGTTTTTATTTAAGGTGAAGGGCATGGGACTCTTTTACTTGAACAATTCAGGGCCACTGCAGGGTTACTATTTAACATACTTTCAAAAGTGTTGTTTCTGAGGCAATAGGGAGGCTGACCAGGTAACTGGTCAGTGAAGTATCTAAAACACACACAACATTTATCAATTAAATTCACTATCTTATACTGGCACCATTAAATGGCACCTTACAATGATTACAATAGTAACATGAGAGATTATATGTCACAGATCATCATGCAAAATAATGAAGTTTGAAATATTGAGAGAAATTCGAAACAGTGACATGAACACAAAAAAGTGAGATCATGTTATTAAACAAATGATACTAGTAGTTTTGCTTGAATCAAAACTACCATTTACCTTCAACTCTTAAAAAAAAATTTCTACATGAAGTGGTGTGGGAGTTCCTTCTGTCTATGTGCAGCTTTCATTGGTTAATGAATAAAGAAACTGCCCTGGCCTATGGATAGGGCAGATCTTAGGTAGGCAGGAAGGACAGAACTGAATGCTGGGAGGAAGAAGGGCAGAGTCAGGAGGAATGCCATGGAGCCACCAGAGACAGACAGTGGGAATTTTATCCTGTAAGCCACTGCCGTGTGGCAATGTACAGATTAATAGAAATGAGTTAAATTAATATCAGAGTTAGCCAATCAGAAGCTAGAGCTAATGGGGCAAGCAGTGATTTAATTAATACAGTTTC